TACTTCGGCTCTTAGACTCACCTCATAGTTTAACCATAGCATGATTAGTACGAAGCACGGCGAGTTATTTACCGTGAGAACCAGCCGCAATCATACTATAGACCGGGGCTCAGCTCTCTCCACTTCCCAAAGTGTGGAGAGGTGGGGATTTAAGTTTGGCGGCCCCGCGCCTCGTTCGGCGGCCCCGCGCCTCGTTCGGCGATTCGGCTCTAATTCGACATGTCGGCAGATACAATGCACTCTGGAACTGCCGGGATCATTTTGAACATCGCCCGTTAAGTATGCGTCCGTGCCATGCGGGGGACATGTCAATAAGTACCCCGTGTTTCTGGCTGGGTTTGGGCGATGAAGACGCAATCGCTGATTCGAGAGCGTTAACAGCCGGGAATTTCAGAGTACATCAAAACTGATATCGCCATGGCGGGAGGCCAGCAAAACAAAGAGCTGCTCGCGGCGCATGCACAGTCCAAGGTTCATTTTGAGGACGACACGCATCGCGCCGCCATCGAAGACAACCCCGAAACAACCTCAACGACAACTAGGACATGGATCTCCATATTTGTATGTCTTATGATCCCGCGAAATAACCAATATATCCATACTCCTGATAGTATGCTGACTAAAGAATGAACGTACAGTGTATGGCTGCGTCCTTTGGTCCTGCAGTGCCGCTCCCCTTCACCTGTCTCGCCGCCATCGTCGTTCAGGTCTCGCGGGATCTGGGGAATGATGTGGATTTCGCCTGGATCGTCGGAGCCTGGTCGCTCGCTAGCGCCTGCTCTTTCTCCATTGCCGGCCCCCTCAGTGATGTCTTTGGACGCAAGATCCTTGTCCTTGGCGGCCAGATTATCGTGCTTATTGGCTCAATCGTGGGTGCGACAGCTCAGAGCGTTGCCAGCCTGGTTGCAGCTGAGACCGTCATCGGTGCTGGAGCTGGTTTTGTCTTTGTGTCTTATTCTGGAGCTACAGAAATGCTTCCCAACAAATGGCGATCTGTTGGTGTTGGCATCCTCGAGGGCGGTATCATGATTCCTTGGTAAGTCTTTCTAATATGCCCCTAATACACCCCATTCTACAACGCTAATACCACATGATCCGCTGTAGGGGCTCTTTTAATGTTCTGTTTGCCAATATCCTCCTCAAATATTCCACTTGGCGATGGATTTTCTACATCTCCATCATCGTCGAGAGCATCACGTTCGTCGGTACAGCCTTCTTCTACAATCCAGTATCCCGTCCCCGTGGCGACTACGACAAGACCCGATGGCAGCAGTTTCTCGAGGTTGACTGGCTCGGTCTCGCACTCTTTACTACTGGCCTGGCAACCTGTCTTGTTGGCCTCACCTGGGCCGGGTCTGCAGGGCACCCTTGGCATGGAGCATCGGTTCTCGCGCCCATGCTCCTCGGCATAGCGGTTCTTGCCTGTGGTTTTGCTTATGACTTCACCATTGCAAAGAACCCCATCTTTCCGCTGAGGCTATTCAAGTTGTGGCGCGGATTTCTGTGCATCTGCATCGTCCTGTTCATCTCTGGCATGAACTTCAACTCGCTCTCCGCCCTCCTACCTCAAGGCACCATGTACATGTTCACAACCAACGGCATTGAAATTGGTGTCCTCGCCCTACCTAATAACATCGTCGCCATCGTCGTCAGCGTCATCATCCCAATCTTCGCTCACAGGATTGGACACATCAAGTGGCTGTTTGTCATCGGTACGGCCTTGCAGCTTATCTTCATCGGAGCAAGCGCAGCCACCGTTAACCCAAACCACAAGATCGCTTGGGCGTTTGTCCCAAGTTTCGGAGTTCCCATGTTCCTCATGGTTACCATTCTCGGCTATGCCATTGCTAGTCTGCACGTACCATACTCGCATCTCGGTGTTGCCATGGGACTTCTAGGCACGTTCCGCTCAGCTGGCGGCGCCGTCGGAAATGCCATATTCAATACTATCTTCCAGAACAAGTTCAAAACTTATTCTGGTGAGGATATCCCTCGAGCTGCCATCGCTGCAGGCTTAAATGTAACTGATCTCGGCGCAATCATTCCCGGCGCCATCACGTACAACATGGGAGTGCCGTACCCAGCGTCCCTGGGCTCGATCGAGGGCATGACGCCTGCCATTGCAGAGACATTGAGACTCGCAGTACGCCACGCATACGGGCGCGCATTTCAATTTGTGTTCTATATTACGATTCCATTCGGTGTTGTGGCCCTTATTGCATCATTCATGGTCGAGGATCCTACGCCTTACATGACGAACCACACTCAGTCGGCGATGGAGGCGCCAACAGTCGATGGACTGAGCTTGAAGGAGGTTGGAGAGACGGAACAGGAGCACATTGAAGTTGCACAAGATCCCAAGACAATAGGCTGATGGTGTCTGAGATTCGTTGTCTTGTGCAGAGGTAAAACTACTCAGCGGGATTTTAAAGCAATTTTTGAGATGCGATTATGTTCTTATGGAGAGGGCCATATTCGTGGTCGAAGTATCAGCCGATCACCAACTGAGTGAATAGTGTATCCATGCCAACCCGGCGGCTTTAAATGCGCCATGTGAAATTAGCACGATTTCGAACGTTACCGCACTTCAATAGAGTATACGGATGGTACGGACCGCAATGCAAAACTCTGCAATGTTCACAACTACGCCTTTCGCCTGATCTGGCGTAGGCCGCCCTTCAGCCACAAAACAAATGCCGAAACAGCCTCGCAAATTAGGCGAGGGACCGCGCCTTCCGTCCAAACAGGTACGACGCGCAACTCTGTACACGCTAGTGGACCCCACTCGAGGATATCTCCTAGTTAGGCCGAAGGGCGCCAAAAGCTACTAAGCTCTCAAGACGTGCCGAGCCCCAGTATGCGTTACCAATCGTGGCGATGCCGTCACACGCCCTTCGCGACAGGTGTAGTATGTCTAAGCGGCCTGTTACGCCGACACTACGCAATCATGCGCCCTATCGTACTCATATCTTTTCTGTGTAATCACCGGCTACGCCTCAAGGCACACTCCCAATTAGTGGAGGTAATAGGCACTGCAAGCAAACTGCTTAGAAATCATAATCATGCAAGTCCAGATTACCAAGATTACACGGACAACTTGAGATGCAATCGTTCTGAACCCTCGGAAACGGAGGACAATGAATCAGAATAAAGGCGAAGGGAGGCTCCAAGAGCGTTTATGAAAATCAGTACTGCTGCAGAGAGCACCACGTCTCGATATCACACATCTACAAAGTACTTGTCTTTCTCGGTCTTGATTCGATCGACACTTCTTTCGTAATGTCTCAACCTGCGGATCATTCCGCAAAGACCCTTGAGTCTTACGGCTGGACTTCGGTCCCACATGACACGTCTGTCCTTCTGAAAGACGTCAGTCCGTGGGATCCCGCTGTTCATGACGTAACGGATATCCAAATTCCACAGACCGAACTCGCAAAGAAAGTCCATGATTATGCAAAGAAGCGGCTTCCAGACGATGTCTACAACCACTCTATGCGGGTGTATTTATATGGTAGGACTTTTTCTCAGGAGAATATAGGGAATACTGGGCAGAGCTAACATGATGAAAAGGCGCCTCAATCGCCCGAAAGCATCTGCCTCTGTTTCTGCCCAGTCTAGAAACCTACTACCTAACATGTCTCCTTCATGATATTGGTGCTACCCCGGAAAATCTTCGCGCAACTCTCTTGTCCTTTGAGTTCTATGGTGGCTACCTTGCGCTGGATATACTGAAAGGGTTTGGGGCATCCAAGGAGCAGGCTGAGAGCGTAGCAGAGGCAGTCATTCGACACCAAGATATTGGTGATGTTGGTACAGTCACCACCGTTGGACAATTGATTCAGCTTGCTACTCTTTTTGGTAGGTCCAGATCTTGAACTTGGAAACCCACCAGGAAACTTTGTACTGCCCATGCTGACATGGTAGACAACGCGGGTAAAAACGCTACTCTTATAAGCAAACGCACTATTGAGTCGGTCGTTGCCGCCTATCCACGCAATCAATGGTCTAGCTGCTTTGCACATATCATCGAAGAAGAGTTGACTTTGAAACCGTGGGCACACTCTTCGGCAATTCCAAATTTTGCTGAGACTGTAGCGGAAAATAAGTTGATGGAGCCATGGGATGATCAGGTGTTGTGAAAATACTTCAAACTCGGATGCTGCACACCTAGTTTTGATTCCTTTCCAAGCAAATATATAAGGCTGCAGCTCTTCCGGAATAGCCGAGATTTCTCTCCACTGAGTTTGGTCGTGAGCCAATTGATGGATAGTTACTGGGTTTGTTCATTGTCGTGAACGTATAGCGAGTTGTGCACTCGGACAAGCTGTCGGACCCTACTGGTCACGGTAATACCTTTTTAGGAGGTTTCATAGCATTCTGTTAATTATCGAAGAATATTCTCGAGGCTTCGGTGTATCGGAACGTGGTTACGAGTTTTCCCATCGAACAGACAGGCCTGCCCTCCTGTCAAACACGCAACAGCGAGGAGATTAGGGACGGGTTGGGGGTGATGAAACGTCTTTCCGAGCACAGGGCCAGGTCAAATTAATTGAAGCTGATTTACAGGCGCATTCGAATTAAAATAAACGCTGAGACGATCATAAATTCACCTAGAAGACTATTGATGAGCTATCTCACGAACACAGTCGTGTCACCCCTTCTTCATCTCTTGCCCCAGGATACCAGCGAGAAAAGTATTGGCACACGCGTACTTGGCTGCATTAATTGACCTTGCCAATAGCCCAGAGAAGCCTTGCAGCCGATTGCACAATATCTTTCAAGCGTCATACGACACTTTGTCTCGATTATCAAGGTCTACAGCATCTCCCTTTTGTTACGCCCATCGTCATTTTCAGCCTGCTCATCAAACCACTCGTTCATGCGTCTCAAAGACACCAAATGGTACAATACATGCACTTATAGCGACGTTTGCCAAAGCGCAACTAGCGGCACTAGGCGTGAGTGCCCCATAGATGAGATACCGAGCTGGTAATATCGCCATGGAGAAGCTGCTGAAGAAGTGCGAATCCTCCACGCCGAGTATCGAAGTGACCGAAGTCTTCGCAACTAGTGAGTATCTCAGCACATCAACTCAACAGCTACTAACATGCGCGAGGTCAGAATAAGGTAGAGACTACACTAGTTTTCGATGCATGGTCCCTGGAGGCGCTTTTGAACAAAGGTGCTAGTTTTACACCCTGACATACCCTTTTGACTTGCTGACCACTCATGAACAGGTCCCTTCGAACTAACTCCTTCGCATCTTGTAATTAGGCACGGTCAGCGCAAGTTGCGATTAAGGTTCATAAGAGCTCCAGAAACGAATCTCAGCGGTCGGCAACAGACATTAAATTATTGGGTCAAAAACCCCAGATGAACTATGAGCTCTAGACCAACCGCCTCCAAAGTAGCGATCGAGTGTTTCGCTAGGCCTAAGTAAAAAAGGGTAAATTGCAGTAAATTTAACAGAATATCTGCTATCACTAAATCTCATTGTGGGCAAGGGAGTTTTTGCATTTCGATTTGGGTTGTGTAGGGTTCCAAAGAGCTACGCAGCTAACCACCGAGGAATTCAAATTTGGCCGAAAATTAAGTCACACAGTTCGATTGATAAAGCTGATTGACAAAACGAACAGTGAGATATACCCAAATCAACAGACAACGTATAAGCTACTCTCATTCCAGATCAACCCATTTTTCCAAGAATTCACGTGCTTTGAGGAATCTCAGGGCGCTTGCGGGAGGACGGCCAATTATGGACGTTCATCTATCTCAGCGATCCATACATCGATCTCACCGTCGCTCACTGCGTGCTGAACGTCCCAGGAGGTGTAAAACACCCTTTAAGCTCATGGATCACCGATTACGTCAACAAATGCACGCCTGGAGCTTTGTTGAGACAATTGAGCGACGATGGCTTTGGATTGGTTAATCAGGTGCTTTACGAAATGAAGTCTACTTGGAAGCTCCTCTTGAACAAGATAGAGCAATTTTGAAAGTCATCGGCCAGTCTTTTGTTCATCATACAAGCTTTGTTCTTCTAGCAACCTTAAATGCAGAAGGATTAACGGATGAAGAACTGATAGAAGTAGCGCCATGGCTGTATCGACGATTTCTCCTCAGCATTCACTACATTCAGCATTATCTTTGGTACCACAATCGCTATGTAAATTAACTCATAGAGGCGGGCTTCCAGCTGCGCTATTGTATTATACCGACTACCTTCAAGAGAGATCTATTGCAAGAGTACAATGCGCTGCCAGTTGTCGATCAACGTCTCAAGGCTTTACAAGATCGCACCAGTTCTATCTTAGAAACGGTGAGCCCTCTCAGACTACAAGAGGTATATACACATATTTACAAATGCTAATCTGGCTAGATATTGAACATCAATACTATCAAGCAGGCTAAGCTTGCAGCTGAGATGACTAGACTCCAACGAGCGGATGCAAGGATCAAAATCGCCCAGGGTGAGACTTTGAAACGACTGACGCTACTGAGTATGGTATATCTTCCGCCTACTTTCGCTGCTGTGTTTGTATACTCAGCTTGAGCCCCGCTGTATTGATTTCACTGAACTGATTAAAACATACTCTATTTGGGATGAACATGGTGGAGAAGTGCACCCTTAAAGCCTTCATTAAGTGGGCGATTGCTTTCATGCCTGTAACAATTTTGTTTGCGCGGAGGTGGAAAGTCCGCGAGAGACAAATGTTGAAAATCAGCATGCAGGTCAACCCTGATCCAGGCGTAATCTTTACTTGTATACGTGAAGTTAGTGCTAGATTCAGATTTTGAAGCAGAAGTAAGATTGTGGGCAGCAGGGGTGCACTGTAGCACAAAGCAATAGACAAGATACTCCTCACCTGTGTTGCCATACCTGTGACTCCTAAGGCCCCTCAATACACGACATTGGTGGGGCTTTGGTGAACAGGCATCTAAGGTAGCACCCATACGCCTCTGGAACAGGTGGCAGTGTCCAAGGGCTCGATGCTTCCATTGTGGGCTACAAATAGACATTCCGTCCGCTTGCAGCTAACAATATAGCAGACTAGGCGTACCCAGGTCGCGCTTAGACGCAGTGTAGGGTTCTTTCAAGTGAATTTTCAAGGACTGGATATTTACCCACACCTCTTCTCGCTTTGCTTCCGGTGAGTGGATCTGATTCTAGGCATGCACAAGAGTCCACTACATTGGCCCTATCGCCATGACTGTAAAGCATATCACCGTTTTAATAAATAGGAGTATTACTAACAGGCACATCTTGGGCGCTACATATTAAATTCCTCATCGTATTCATTCGTATTCCTCTTACTCCTACACTTGTCGTCATCGTTTTGCAAATAGCATACCCATCGCCTGATCTATATCATCAAAAGCGACATGGACATCGTTTCCCATACAAAGGGAATTGTGCTACTACAGTCCCTTGGTAACGATAGCGGTCCAAGTCATGAGACGAAAAACGGAGAGCTTAAGGGAACTCCCAATTATGACCACAATCGAGTCTTCACAGCCATACACAACGCCCGGGGACACGAAAAACACTTCAAAGTATCTGTTCATGGATTTTCTTTGTATTGGGGCCTGGTAATGAAGCATATTGATTTGATCTCGTGAAGACATTGATAAGGAGTATTTTCCCCTTATTAAGGAAGCAGTAATCTTAGATATCCCACATCTGATCAAGACAATACCCTTCGACATAACTACGCGACACGCGGGTGCAGAGGAAAGGCAACATCGGCCCGTATGCAAGGTTCACATTGATCAGTCCAGGTACGGCGCATAGCTACCTACGAGCAACACACGAGCTGGCGGATCAACCAGCTTTGTTAGACGATGTGATGAGGCCTCGCGTCTGGTATCGCATCATCAATGTTTGAATTCCGATCAATTGTGCGGTCAAGGACCATCCACTAATCTTTACCGATTCGCGTACTGTTGCGGAGACTGACTTGGTATCAGTTGAGCAGGTTTATCCATGTTACACGGGCGAAAGATTTGCCGTCAGTTAAAATGCTGGTCAGAAGTTCTGGTACTGCAAGGACATGAGTACGACCTAGGACGTGCTAATACAGATATTTCGTAGTGATAGGGAGCTTGATGAAAACGGCAGGCTGTACAGTGCACGCTGTGCGCACACTTCATTTTTTCTCGACTCCAATACCGCGCCGACAACAAGAGAGCATTGAGATCCGGTGTATTGTCCTGACCTCCAAACAGCAGTACTGAAATTTACTGTGTAGGATGTGATTATTAGCAAGCTTTAGTCGTTCCGACTTTTTCGCGAAACACAATTGTATGCTCACAACAAACGAACCTTGAAAGTGAAGGTTGTATCGCGCGTCGAAGTCATTATGATGGGATACTCTTTAGCCCAGCTTCATTTCTTTCCTTCACAAGCTTAGAAACCAAGAAACTGATGCTATGTAGTCATTCCAGGCTCAGTGAGAATGTATAGCTCGTCAATTTAGCGAAGAGTCACAAATGCTCGCGCAGAACAAAGCCGGGAAATAAGGCAGCAGGGAGGCAAGCAATCAAGAACAGAAAGTGGGACGGTCGAATTCAACCACCAACGTAAGCTGATAATCCTACACCAAGAGGACAAACCGTAGACATTCTGCGGAGCATGGGCACAGCACGGACATTATGTCAACAAGCCCTCAGTGCCACCTTTGCTTGGATCGTGGTAGCTTTTGCATGGATTTTGGATAACTACCAATAGCAGATGCAACAAGGTTTCTCATATTTGGGATATCCAAGTGCTGTGTTCCGCCCTGTGATAAGCAAGATATATCGGTGAACATGATCAGCGGTTCCGAATTGGAGGCTTCGATACGCATTACCCACCAAAATTACTTTACTTAAATTATGACAGCTATCATGAAGTATGACTCGTCTAATTTTACACGTTAGAAACTTGCAATAAGTATTTTGATCAATAGGATCCCGAACGTAAGTGACTTTACAATAAGCTTGCTGAGTAATGGCCGACGTGTACACCGATGTGACAAATTTTCAAATGAGTCCTTCTAGTAGAGCTTCTGAAGCAATACACTGAATCCTTGTATGATATCTGGATCAAACATCTCGCGCACGTTCATTATTCTGCACCGTATCTGTTTTCGAATAACACGGACTTTCGAAATCTCGATGGTCTCGCAATGGCATAACTGAAAGCCCGGGGCGGGGACGGAACTGTGTTTGGCTCGGATTGGCTTCACACACAAACACGTGGGTGCGATACGTTGCCGTTTGAGAGAAATCTCTTGAAACGGTGTAACGGTCACAAGAGACTAACAGAAAGGGCCTTTCGGGTCAACGCTCGAGAGCTATGGGAAGCACCAAGTTGGTTCAGTGTCTTGTCAAATCTCTACTTGAGTTACTTTGTTCTTTCTCAACTAGCAGTGAAAGAGATTAGGCTAGGCTTGGATTGAAGTGGTACGAATTGCGCTAGGAATAGAAAGAAATCTATTGATCTATAAAAATACTGAGACTCTACTCCACCTATATCGAACCCCTCCCAACTCTCCTCCACCCCTATCTAACTCCTCGCAAATCTAAAACATCTCTACTACTGCTGATTGACTACTATAGGCAGAGCTATATGTCTAGGCGGTGCCGTTGTAAGAGGTGTTAATGTTTCGGAGCCTTGTGGTGAGTGTCTCGATGGTCTTCTTGTGGCAGCCATCCTGGACTGCTACACCGTTGAAGCGGTCCCCAATCCACTTCATGACGTCAACCATGGCTGCGCCGTTCGTAACGTCGTGGTTCGAATCAGGGTAAAGCAAGAGGGTAGCCTTAGAGTTGGGGAAAGATGAGCAAGTCTGGTTGAAGTCCCATTCGGTATTGTTGGCGTAGGTGAGTACATCGGTGATACCCTGAACAACTAGCATTGGCGCAGCGAGGGCATGTGGTCCGGCGCCATTGAAACGCTTCTGCCAGTCGACGACTACGGGAAGCTTAAGCCAGTCAAGGTTCTTGAATAGCTGCGCGCTAGTCAGGCCTCCGAAAAGGGCTCGACCGGCAATGATACAGCCTTGGTTGACAAAAGGAATTCGGGCTAGCGCAAGGGGTGTAAGGTGATCCTCAATGCGGAACTCCTTGGGGAAGAGACCAGCAAGCGACTGCAAGAAGAAGACGGATACTGCATCACCAATAGGTCCGCCGTTCGCTCGTCGGACAGATTCAGGGATCAAGTCGAGTGGACGGAGCGCCGGTGAGTTTGCGACTGAGCCAAGAAAGTTGCCTGCCTTCTTGAGTTCGTCCTGGTCGGGCATTGCAAGTCGCTCATTGGTCCTCCATGCACTCATGCCGCCCTCACTGTGGCCGGCGACAACATAATCTTGGGAGAGTAGGTTTCCAATAACTTTACGGGCAGCGACAAGGGAGTAAGCAGCGTCAGCAGCATGAAGAAAGCCAGCCTCGTACATGAAGCCCTGAGGGATATCGGATCCTTGGCCAGCATAGTCTGGAGCGATGACGGCATATCCAGCCTGTGCCAGGTAGTAGGGTCCCTGCCATTCGTAGTACAGGTCTTTGTGATTGGAAGGCGCGCAGTTTCTCGTGAATCCTGCTGTACCGTGTGTCCACACAACGGTGTTCAACGGCTTGCTTGGATCGAGCCTGCTATAGGGGAGAAGGACAAATCCACTGGCGGGAATAGGCTTTCGGTCGATATCTTCGGTCATATAGAGGAAGCGGGAAAGGGACATTCCAGAGGGTATAGTAAAGTTGGTGTTTACTACGGACTGAGGGAGGTCCTCCCATCGCAATACATCACCAGGTTTGGCACCGGTGGCATTGGCAGGTGTGCTGTAGAATGCTTCAGAGGACACGTTCTTTGCGACCATAGAGCCAATATCAGCTGCGACAGCTGGTCGAAAGGCTGCTTGACATGCGGCATTGCAAGATTCCTGCGCATGGCCGAGAGCGGCCTGGAGGGCGAAGAAAGAGAGAGTGGAGATCTTCATGATAGAAGAACGAAGGGGAAAAGCGAGAGTTGTGTTGGTGTTCCGTAGCAGTTCAGATACCCAGTAGGTACGAGGGATTGACAGAAGATGGCTGGCTGAGCTGATGTGGTGTCATTCAAAAGCTGTCAGGTTGTGCACCTTATATTCACTTCAATCATCGTTCCTACAATAGTTACTTATTTTAAGACTATGCTGAGGAATCTGGGGTGGCTGTACGCAGGAGGCTCTAGTGACTGTCCAAGACGCCTAGCAAATGGTTGTTACCACAAAAAGATAGTCTTGAGAGGCGGTCTGGACCACGTGCACCTCAAGGGAAGAGGTATATCGGATGCTCAAGTGGCTGTATCCTTACGTTGCTCTACTGTGAGCGTATGCCAGTAGAGCGTGTAGCGGAAATATATGCTGTATCCAGCTAGTAGGAGTCGGTGTCATTAGTCATTAATGCGTATAGACACTCGCGTATCGGTGCATAGTATGTATGTTTCTAACATACGCACGCTGAATTCGATGAAAACAGAACGGCAGAATATCAGTAGGACCGAAAGTGTAGGACGTGGCCTACTTTCCAAGAACGCCAAGCGTCTGTAGAAGTAAAAAATCTAATTTAATCCAAAGGATTGGTCCCTGGTTGCCAAGTAGCTTAGTTTGAGCTTTTGTCTAGAGGATGCATGGTGTACTGTACCTCGTTACATAAGATGGAATATACAGGGGCTTGGTAGGGCTATCATGCGGATGGTCTTGGATATACGAGTCCAAATCTGTCATCGTGTTGCTCGCAATTACAGAACAGGTTCCCCTGTTTTGTCTCTTGTTCTCACGCTTGGGCTGACAGGCAATGTGAGTACAGAAATATGGCTAATGCAGCATTTGTTACTTGGGCAGGGACCCCGTGTGTCCTGTCGTAAGTGAAAAGGCGCGGTGTTGCTAGGCTATGACCAAATAGGTATGTACTGCCGAATGTGTTGCGCAAAACCCTTTTCGCCACCCGGATCCGGCAGGTTCGGATGTAGCCCGCCATCCCGTTCTCAGCAAAATGATCTTATACGCTCTACGCCAAGAAGATTTAAGAAATTAAAATCATAAGTCAGGCAGTTATAGATGGTCCAAGCCGTGATGCGCCAAAGTGGTGTTACTAGTTACATTCGAGGTGGCTATGGCAGGCGACTCTGCATAGTTTTGGACATGATATCAGGAACGAGGGTAACTATGGGCTTCTGACCTCCTGTACGTTTAGTGCGCTATAAAAGCTTTCGAGTACTGCCAGAGGAGAGTAACACTGTTATGTATGTAACTTGGCTGACAAATAAGTACTTATCCAGACACGCAAAAGCCGATTCCTATACGGCACGCCATGTTAAAACCCCTACTTGTAAATTCGAATACAATACATATGAGAAATAAGACTGGGTATCTGCATACGATGCTCCGCTCGATATTACACCGGAGCACCCCAAGCTGCGCGCAGGCGACGTGCGAGCTGTATGTCCTTTTGCTGAATGGTGACGCGCCTTGCATGAATGGCGCATAGATTGGCATCATGGAATAGGTTGACCAGGAAGGCTTCAGTAGCTTCTTGTAGGGCCATAATGGCTTGGCTCTGCCATCTGTTGGGTCCTTCTTCGCTTGTGACTGTTTGGGCGATTTCACGGACCTGGACATGTTAGAAACGAGGTAAATGACTTGTCATGGTCGCGCACTTACAAGGCGCTGGAAAGGGAGCTTCAGCAAAAGCAGGTCAGTCGACTTTTGATACCGCTTGATCTCACGAAGAGCCACAGTACCAGGCTTATAGCGCTTTTTTGCGCGATCAGGCGCAGGTCCTGGCGCTCCAACTGTGCCATGTCAGTCACTGTGGGTGCGCCCCTTGGTTGCGTGGCTTTGACATACGTCGCTTACCAGACTCCCTTCTATCACCAATACTAGCTCTCCCGCCTCGCGATGGTCGCGCTTTGTTGCGCCTGGCAGGAGATTTCGGTGCCATGTTGAGTTTCCGTCGTAGAAATGTTGCGTCAACTGCTGAAAGCAAAGTGGGCGACGACAGGGTCGCGAGAAATGTATGCGTTTGGGTGGAATTCGAGGTTGGCGCGTAGACCGGACGCGACGCGAAGCCGCCAAACTTTGGCTTTGATTGAACTGGCGCGCTGCGGTTCGAATGTGCAAGACGGTTAGGGATCGATGTGGGTCTCAGGAATAGGGCAATCTAGGACAATGGAAAAAAGGTTGCTGAATCAGATGGGCTTGTTCCCATTGCCAGCCGTTCTCGCGTTGCTTGGTCGCGTCGCAGTGCTACGCCGAGCCGAGGGGCTGGCACGTATGGCTAGTGCGCGGCCCTCAACCGCATCTTATCTAATCTAAGCTGGCCAGATTAGATTAGATTAGATTAGATCAGATCAAGCTAGTGCTTTCGTCAGCCATGGTTCACGTTACGTAGCCACTTATGTACGTACTTGTCCTTCACTCTCGGACACGAGAGCGCAGCGGTTGCTCACCGACACCTATCCTTTCGCTTCTTACCCAGCTTCTATATGCTGGATCCCTTCCCTTCATCACCGCCATCTTTGCGTCGCCGGTGTCTCCAACTCCAGAGAAAGCGCAGTCTGCTTGCCCCAGCCAGGCATAAACAAAATGGCCAACGTGCTGCAAGGCGGAGATGGTATGATGGGTGGGGTCGGAGGATTTCCGCTCGAGCAGTGGTTCTACGAGATGCCTGTTTGCACTCGCTGGTGGATGACTGCAGCGCTAAGCGCGAGCGTGCTTGTACAATGCCACATCATCTCACCCTTCCAGCTGTTCTATAGCGTCCGTACTGTATTCTTCAAGAGCCAGGTGCGTTCAACTTTGGATCTAAATCTGGCCATTCCGTACTGACACCTGGCAGTATTGGAGGCTTCTCACCACCTTTTTCTACTTTGGTCCGCTCAGTCTCGATCTCCTCTACCACATTTTCTTTCTTCAACGCTATGCGCGACTTTTGGAGGAGTCTTCTGGGCGGTCTACGGCACACTTCGCCTGGCTCCTCACTTTCGCATCCACACTCCTCCTCTGCATTGCGCCCATGTTCTCCATGGCCTTCCTTGGCTCTGCTTTGTCTAGCACCCTCATATATATCTGGAGTAGGAAGAATCCGGATACCATGCTAAGCTTCTTGGGATTGCTAGTGTTTAAGGCGCCTTACCTTCCCTGGGTATTGTTAGCATTTTCGCTGATCATGCATGGAACCGTACCCAAAGACGAGATGTGCGGCATTGTCGTAGGTCACAGTACGCGTCCCCGTGTCTTTGCCCCGATTTCTTCGTTGTAGAGCTAAGTTTCAACAGTATGGTACTACTTCAACGATATCTACCCGCCTTTACACAACAATCACAGTCCGCTCGATCCTCCTGTATGGTGGATTCGCATGATCGAAGGACGCCCTACTCCCACCGAAGACTCAACCCAGGATGAGCATCAACCAGATATAGATATGGATGCACATGGCGAAAACAATCCAGTAGAGGCCGCATTGGTCCATTGATCTCTATACAGGATATGGGCATTTCCACTAGGAGCCTGGCGAACAATTGTGGCTTAAAATATCTAGGATGTCTTCTGGCCATTTTCGCCTTGCATGGACCCCGTGCATATTCACCAGCCGCTCCCCAGAGACTTTTCTCCAGGGGAACGCTGTTTGTGCGTGGTCTTTGAATTTGTGGCTCCAGTCTCTTCCAGTAAAACGTCACAAGGTAAAAGTTGCAAGGTCATCCAACATGCGTATATTCTCGCAGAAGTGATACTACTCTGCCCAACCTAGCAATTACATTCACAAACTCACTGCTAGCCCAAGTCTTGCAAAATAATCTGAAGGCCATGATACTTTGGAAACGAGTCCAGGGATTAGTCGCAAATATGTTCAGAGCCACTCAAGAAGGCAACCCTTCTTTTCTCTCTCTCTCTCTCTCTCTCTCTCTCTCTATGTGTTTTCCTCAGTTCCCTCGTTTTCCAGAGTAAAACTTCGGGAGTTCCAGCTACCTACTCAACCGCTTTGAAGCCTCATATCTTTTCCATTAAGACCTATTTCTGCATCTCACTTTTGGACTTATCATCAAGCCTCTGACCAACCCCTACTTTCCTCAACATTTTAGGGGTGATATATCACTCAAATTCCTCTTCCAGCAAGAAACGGGATGTAAACCTCTAGCTTCATGGGGGTGGTAGTGCTCTGCCTGCTCTGCCTGCGCCCATGCCTTGGGCTATAGAATTTACTCATCTTATGGGGTTTACCTAAACCACTATACCGAGGAGGTCAACGTTATTTTCGTCAAGACGTCCTTGATACGGCCAAACGCTCAAATGGCGTGCATCAAAATTTCTATGTCAAAATCATTGCGTTCAGGGAGTGCATTCACACATTGCTCTCCTTACTACGCGTCCACCAGGCACCTCACACACCATCAGCTGTGATTTTCTCGATTTACACCAAGATCGAGCATAGGAAATTTCACATGAAGAGGAAAGGTCAAATTGAACGATTCATGGCAACGGATGAATTGGCAGTTTCGCCCAGGTCCACACAGCCAGCAAATTGATCTGCCACATCTCTGCAAACCCTAAATCTGATACATTCCTCGCGCCAGAGTTGTTTGGAGCGTACGGAACAATTAGACGCCCTGCTTTCTCTTTTAGCTGAAAGCATCAAGTCGGGAAAGGAGGCTGCGGGTTTGCGACTTGGTTCGATTTTCCTTATCGGCTAGCCGAGATGAAGGGAGATGGCCATAGCAAGTGACCAGGGCCGAACAAGACGAATCAAGTGCGATACGGCTTTGGTCCGGATGTTGGTGTAGTCATAATAATGCGAAGGGAGTATAAAAATTGATCGCGCAAAGGCTGTGCGAACATACATTGTGTACAGTAAGGAAGACAGAGGAATGAAGAGACAATCGTAGACCTTGATAGTGGCGCATATCTTACAACGCGGCTTGTTCCAAATGTGTAGCGCTATTTTCCCCGGATCCCAGGGCTGAGAAGCTCGGGCGCTGCGGGACGATTAGTCATTTGGCCGGTGTTTCACCCGAGCTTGCTACATAGCATCAGGCTCCCTGTCGCATCCACTCTCACACCCTACCATGACCCCGGAGGACGTACCTTTGAGCGCCTTCAATGGGCAGACCACCAGCAACACGGGCGTGCGACAGGTGCCACGCCGTCAAGGAAAAATGTAGACGTATCCCAGGCCAGAGTGCCTGCGAACGTTGCCACCGACTGCAGAACACATGCCAGAGCCTAAGACCTGTGGGAACCGCTGGCCGCAAGCCTCGTCACCATCGCCATGAGGGAAGTGCGACAACAATCCAAGTACGTCGCGCCCGTAGCGAGAGCTCTTCTACGGTCTCGGCAGCAGCGTCATCAGTCAAACAAGGCACTACTCCAGCGAGCCCTGCATCGGACACAGTCTCCCTACCAGCATCTCCAGCTAGATCGGGTGCAGTGTCTCCACCCAGGACTCTTTCCATGTTTGCCGACATGAACGAAAGGGAGTTGTTCATTGTCAAGTGCATATCACAAGGACGACCTCGGATTGAGCAGTTCTTGATAGCACAGAGCTTCCGGGTAAACCATCACAAGACTTTTGCGCGGCACCTTCATAATGCGCCGTCATGGATCAGCGACGCTTTGATAGCAACTGCAGCGCTCTTAGCTTGCGAGTATGATCCTGATCCCTCCCCCGAAGACAGGTCCATTGGCCATAGACGGGCGGCTTCAGCGGTGTCCACTTTGCGCTCCGTCAAACCTCTCGATTCTGGAGATTTATCCGTCATCCTGCTGCTAGCAGTGAGCGCACTCACCTTCGCATTGCATATATCCGGAAGCGGTTTGGCAATATGCAGACATGCTCTCCTCACCATCAAGCCCATCTACGACTCGACTACAGTGTTTGATCCTGAGTGTTCGGCATTCTTTGTCAGCCTGATCTTGTCAGAGACTGAGGAATGCTATTTAATGGGCGAGGTGCCCACACTACGGTTCAAGATGGAAATTACGGATGGCTGTGTAGATCGCTATGTGGGAATTTCTGCGCCAATGCTACCCTGCATGTACGATATTTGCGAAGTCAGCTATCTGTTGCGCCAGAACGAGCGACCTAGCGATTCCGAACTCATGGGAATCATTGATGCAATCGAGCTGGTCGTCCACAATTGGACGCCTACACTACCCGAGGGATGCGCCAGTCGTTTCTTACAACAGGAAATGGTGAGCCTACTGGCTCAAGCTAACATCTTCCGCTGGTCTATGCTCCTCATGATTCACCGGCTACGCTATCCTTTCGGTACAGAGTTAGCAGCAGGCACAGCACTGTCAGAAGCAATACTTGAAGAATTGCGTTCAGCGGTTCGGCATACCAAACGATCCATTCCGCACATGGAGATTGCGTACATGGTCGCTTGTTTTGAGCTCACGGATATTAAGGAACGTCAAATGGCGCTTGAGCAAATTGATATTTTTATTGAATTTTCGAGACGATCAAGAATCAGGCTAAGAGATCAGCTGACTGCATTTTGGGCAATCAAAGACATTCGAGGACAAGTACACTGGTGCGACGCCGTCTCCTGGCTTCCACATTGAGCCAAACTATTAAAGGAAGGACTGCAATGTTACATAATGCTTCTACAGGCTTTGGATGACGGTGTACAAAGCAAAATAACTTTGGATTTTACGAGTGCTATTCCAGTGATCGGAACGCAGGTTGTCGACGGGCCATTGCTTCGTATCGCTTGGAGGTTGAGATCCTAAACTTCTTGCCCCAAATAATCAAGGGAATGGGGAGCAAAAGGACGACAAGATTGAAGACGGCCGTGATGATTGCAACATTCTGGATGCCCATAGCCTTAGTCCAAGGAGTGAGTGTAAAAAGAATAATGACGGAGAAGACATTTCTGACAAAGGTGACGCCAATCATAATGTCTCCGAGAATCTTGAAGATGTCAAGTTAGTGTCTACAATGTA